CTGGCAATAGTGGATGGGGTTGTGGCTCAGTGGTAGAGCATTCACCTAGCTTTTGTGAGGCCCTGGGTTTGATCCTCAGCACCACATAAAGATAAATAAATAAAGTATTGTGTCCGTCTACAACTAAAAAATATATATATATTTTTAAAAAGAACTGGCAATAAAGGGATAAAGAGTCCTGTGCCCCTCCAAACAGCCTAGAAGCCTCACATTTGGGGAAACGTTGGCCTTACCCACAGAGAAGATGGGTGGCTGCCCCATGACATGGTTTAAGGAAAATCATAAACCATCTTCACTCAAATTTCTATCACGCCACCTGCCACAAGGCAACAGAGGTATTTCCCTCCTTCTGGGCAATGGCTTTTGAATACCCCTACCAAAAAACACGGTTGCCCTGGGAGAATGTATGTGTAAACATATTGGTGCAAGTTTCCTAATCTGGCCATCTGGCTGTTACCCAATAGAGAATGGGCTGAAATTCAGAGGAGTAGATTTTTACAGGACTGGGTTATCAAAGGGCCCAGAGGATAGGCCTTTTCTTTCCAGGAGGCATGCAGTGGAATGTGTGGGTGACAGAAAGACAGGAGGACTATAGAAAAAGGAAAAGATACCAAATAGGGATAGACCCACAAGGAATGTCAGCTATGCCACCTATTATTTAGGGAGCTCTTGTATCTTCCAGCCCAGACTTGTTTCCTCCCAGGAGTAATTGTGTACTTGTGCAGAGAGAGGTGTGGAGTTGATCCTAGTGTCAGGGTAACCTGTGCAGCAACACCAGGGTCTCAATGACTGAGGCCAGGAAGCTCTGTCTATGTCCAAGATTATCATGACAACAGCTACAGTCTTCCATTCTGAGTTGGGGTCAAGGGAAGATAGCAAAGAATATGCCCTACATATCACTGGGATTCCCAGGGCTTTCTTAGTTGAGAGTCCAAAAGTCTACCCAGAATTCATCATCCAAATGCATATGTCTGGTCTGTCTTGATTGTAATCTTGAGAAGATAAGAATTTACATTTGAAAATGCAAAGAATTGAATATTTTAAAAATATTTTATTTTTTAGTTGTAGTTGGACATAATACCTTTATTTTATTTATTTCTTTTTATGTGGTGCTGAGGACCAAACCCAGGGCTTCGCACGTGATAGGCGAGCGCTCTGCTGCTAAGCCACAACCCCAGCCCTGAATATTTTTTTTTAAATGTAACCACTATCATGGCTATTTACCCAGGAAAACACACATATACATCTATATTTCTTCTTTTCTTCCTACCCACCTCCCTCCCTCCCTGCCTCTCCCTTTCCCCTTCCTTCCTTCCTTTCTTCCTTCCTTAAAGGCCAATGGGATATGTAGGACCTAGCAGTTCTGAGGTCTGACCCAAAACAGCAGGAAGGACACCAGAGTGAATATTAAATTTGCAGGACTGACTACCCTCCTACACCTGACTCAGACATTTTGGCCTCATGGCAACTCCAATCTTCTCTGTAACACTACCTGCCCTAAAAAGAGCAGCAAGAGAAGTAAGGAATTGGTTCCCTCCACATTATCTTAAAAATTGCTGTGGTATCAGAGTAATTATTAATAAAGCAGATCTTTTGGGGTCTTGACCAATCCTTTCCTCAACCTTTCCTCCTCTGAATTATGGAGAATATTCCTTAATACAGATGAAAAGAAAAACAGGAATGGGAGGGGAGGATCGGAAATGGGGGAGAACATGCTAAGCAGGTGTAAAACACGGAAAGCATTCTGTAAAAGCTCCATTTCAGAGAGGGTGACTTTGTGGATGGGAGGAGGAGAAGGAGCTGAAGGGTGGTAATTAGCTTATTATTGTTTCCCCTGGGTGTTGTGAGAATTCCTTAGGAGACACTTGTAAAAAAGCAGAGGGAAGACAGTAAATACACATCTAATGATATGCTAAATAAATTATTATTGTTATTATTATGACTATTATTATAGCAATTGCAACTTGCTCCTGGCATCCAAGTTTCCACTAGAGATGGGAATTGGTCCCTCTACAGCCAGGCTTCCACTGCTGCCAATATGCCCCCAGGCACTCCCCCACTCTCAGGAATTGTAGAGTAATTGGGCAATATAGACCAGTCTTCAGTTAATAGCTGATCAGAAGCCTCTGCCAGGTGCCCGTTCAAGCAAAGAAGAAAAGGAAAAGTGATTTGTTAAAAATGGCAGAGGTTATACCTAGGGAAGAACTTCCTGACAACACCCCAACCCCACAGCAAGGAAACTCAGGGAGGGCAAAAGTAAAGGTAGATGAGTGGGGAGAGAAGGGGGTCACAGAAAGACAGGGATATTAAACAAACCAGGGATCACTCTCTACCTAGAGATCACAGGCTTTTTGGACTCCATATAACCCCATCAACTGTCAAGGACACTGGGTATGTGTGCATTTTGCTGGTGAGACGGCCAATAATTTTTGTCAGCTTCTCAAAGGGGTCAGGGACCCAGAACCAGCTAAGAGCCACACCAGCCCAGGTAAAGGGACATAGGACTCACTAGAAAAAAATACTGGCCAATACTTCTTGGTTTCCTGCATTTTGACCAAGAACAGTCCTTATCTGAACTGTGAAGATTTTTAATGTTTTTAACAATGCCCCCCACCCAATCCCATACTGTCCAGAGCCCAGACACCTGCCCTGAAATCTTAGGCAAACAGATGTAAATATAGAACACTCTGTTCTCCTTGCATTTATACACACACACACACATACACACACACACATACACACACACACATACACACACATGTGTGTGTGTATATATATATAAAATCTACATATTGTAGTTGTCAATGGATCTTTATTTTATTTATTTATATGTGGTGCTGAGAATCAAACTCAGTGCCTCACACATGCCAGGCAAGCGTTCTACCACTGAGCCTCAGCCCCAGTCCTCCCTGCATTTCTTTAGGAAAAGAATAACCATCCCTGTGGGCACTACCTATTGGTGGCGAGGGGAGAATAAAGCTGTGAGTCTGAGGAGGAAACTGTCAAAGGCTGGGGACTAGAAAATGGAATCCCAGGTTTAATTTAGTCCCCGTGTAACCCTAGCCTGCACCACTGTGCCACTTAGACACTGGGTGGGCGCCTCTAAGGAGCCTTAAGGATAAAAGGAACCAAATCTGGAGGCTCCACCCAATTTTCAGCCTTTGTGGGAGAGAGGAAGGCTGACCCTTCCCTACAGACAGGAATCATTAGATGGGGAACCCGGAACTTGGCAATCTCATTCCACTCCCTGACAGTGACTGCCTGGCCCCAAGCTCCAAGAAGAAACAATTTTAACAGGAAACAAAGAGGGGATAATGGTGACAACTAAAATATACATATATGTGTATGTATATAAAACAAACTGATTAGGGGGCATCTGAGAATGAAAAAATTTGTGATTGGCATGTATGTGTGCATTTTGCTGGTGAGACGGCCAATAATTGTGATTGGCTGATTGATTCAACAATTGATTGATTTTGCAGTTGCTGGGGATAGAACCCAGGGCCTTGCATGTGTCAGGCAAGTGTAAGAGTACTGAGCCACTCCCCCAGGCCATTGTGAGATTTTTAAAGTTAATTTTTTTACCAAAAATATTTAAACTACTAAATTAAAAACTTAAAGTATTAAGTCTGATCTGTTTGGTGTCCCTGGAGCAGGGCTGAGAAATAGTGAGCTTTCCTTCTGACAGACTGTCTTACACTGACTTATTTTTATTTTATTTGTGAATTTCCTATTTTTAAAAGAATTTTCTTTTTTCTTTTATCTAAATATTTTGTTAGATATGGATGGACCTTTATTTATTTTTATGTGGTGCTGAGAATCGAACCCAGTGCTTCACACATGTAGGCAAGTGCTCTACCACCGAGCCACAACCCCAGCTCCTATTTGTATATTTCTTGATGGAGGGTGGTTCCTTTTTGGGTCCCTCAAGGCAGAGAGGCAGTTCCTTCCCAGGCCAGGTCTTGTTAGGATTTAGTTTTCATAATTTGGGATTCTAGGGACCCAGAAGACAGGGAATGGAGCAAACGTACACTGAGGAGGCAGGCCTGCCTTGGCCCCCCACAACTTTCCCTTCCCCTCCACTTGAGCCACTCTCCTATCCTACTAACCACAGGCAGAGGGTGGTAGAACAAGCACTGCTGCCAGTTACCATGTTATTCCCCAGACTGTCTAAGTTGCCTCCAGCCCAGGTACCTGAGTGCCTGCTAGCCAGTGGTGGTCGGTGGCATGCAGAGTTAGGGTGAGGTTCTGTATTGACTGCATTGTGTATTTGGAATCCACTCTGTGCCTGGCAGCAGAAAGAGGCCTTGACCTGGATGAGTTCCCAGTTTTGTGGGTAGGGGTGTGTGGAGGGTGGTATGTGGCATTTAACTTCATCTCAGGTGACTTCACTCCCTTCCCAACATCCTAAAGATCTTGGAGGCAGAGCTGGCCACCCAGATCGAGTTCAGGAAAACTTTTGCACAAACCATTCAGCAAAGATATCTGGGACTCCCTGGTTATATCAAAACAAAACAAACAAAAAACAACCAAAGTGTGTGTGTGTGTGTGTGTGTGTGTGTGTGTGTGTGTGTGTGTTTCCCCTGGGATGGATGGTAGCAGGGGAAGAACTGTGCAGCCTTGGCCCAATGGTACCTGCCAGAGAGCTGGAGAAACAGCAGTGTGGATATGAGTGGAACAAGTGAGGCCCTGGGGCTTAGGTCCGTATCCCCTGCTTCTTAAAGTCAAATTCTACACAAAAAGGTCCAAGGCAGGGTAATTATGGATCTGGATGGGCCCCACTGTACCCAGAGGGAGCCTCAACTGGGGAAGCAACAAAGAAGGAACAGGCCAGTGGAGTGTTAGGTGACAGAGGCCCTGGGAGAAGGTCTGGGAGAAGGGGTAGGTGGTAAAGAAGACCTCTCTAAGTCTTCTCAGAACAGGACTAAAATTCACAAATTCACTCCTCTAATCCACTGGTCTCTTGGTCTCATCCACAGTCGCTCCTGGGGCACAGGAAGTCCCATAAAAGCAAGCTTTATTTGACCAGATTGCCTCAATTTCCTGGCTGCATTACCAGAAAGCAGTGGTGGCAAAAGTACACTCCCCTCCTTGCCCAGTGCCTCCCATACCTCTTCACCCTTCATCAACATTTCTCCCCCTTCCCTCTTTCACTAGGAATTAAAACCAGGAACTTCACCACTGAGCTATAGCTTCAAAATTATTTTCTATTTTGAGGCAGGATCTCAGTAATTAATTTGTCTAGGCTGGTCTCCAACTTGTGATCTTCCTGCCTCAACCTCTCTAGTCACTGGGATGACGGGCCTGCACCACCGTGCCAGTTTGAAGCCCACTCTTTCAAAAATTAGGGTTCGAGAGAAAAGAGCTAAGAATAAAGTTAACCTTTGGTGCACTAAATGTCTAACAGGAGGCTGCTCCCTCAGTGGAGGGTGCCTCCCAGTGGGGTGGTAGGAGTGTTCACCCTTTGTAACAGGGTCCACACCTGTCCACAGCCAGCCCTTCACAAAATCGGCTGTCACCTTCTGGTGAGTGCCCAGTGTTTACCCTGTTCCTCCCGGTCTATCTGTTCCTGGGAGCCCCATCACCCTCCATTTCCCTCCCCTCCTGGGCACTTCCTATGCTCTGTTTATCCTTTTGTAATTTCATCCCTCCTTGAATAAAGAACTCTGCTAGCAAGTTTCCTAGATGGCCAGATACAGATGGCCCTCTGCAGTTATCTTGCTGAACAAGTCTCTCCCAGCCCCTACACATAAATATGTCTATTCAGAGATAGACTGGCCTAAGTCCCAACACACACACATCAGGAGATAATTACACCTTATATACATATGGATATCTCTATAGAGTTATATTCAAAAGTGTCTATAACTCTAGAGAGATAGCAGCATGTACATATAGGACTATAATTACTTATGTCTATTTTTATAACTATGTGGTTATAAATAGATATGCCTATATATAGTGATAATAATATAGAAATATCTCCATAGCCATATATGTCTCTAAGTGAATGCTCTAACTACTCTATATCACAATCAATAAGTATATATCTGCTGATACATAATTCTAACGATATACATTTATCTATATAGCTGCTCAGGGATATAAATCTGTCAGAATATCAAATGTCCATAAAGCTGTATGGCTATAAGAGAGTCGTATATTTTCCCATATATAAATCTGCTCCTATAACTATTGTATATGCACAAATACAATGGAAATAATTATATTTTCCTCAAGCATAAATCTGTAAATACAACCACAGCACATTTAGGTATGGTTAGAGATAGAGCAATATTTTGTAGACATCAGTCTGTCAATAGAGCCACCACTGCTTCCAAACAGAGAGAGTTATAGAGGGTGTTATAAATAAACCCTCCAGATGTGAATGGATCAGTAGAACTAGATGTAAACAGGGCTCCAAGCTGTTCTTTCTTCTTCGTGGTAAAATATTTCTGAAGGGAACCAGGTCACACAGGACAGGGGGCTAATGTGCCTGGGTGCTGGTAATTTTTCCCCCAAGGAGGGTTGGAGGTCGCTGGACTTTAGGAAACCAAGCTGGAATGGGCGGGGGGCAGTGTCAGCTCCCAACGCAGCCCAGAAGCCCCTTCGGTCATCTCCGGGTGGCTGAGAGCTGCGCAAGTGGAGAGGCCTAAGGGAGAAAAATGGAAAAGCGGAAGCTGCCTTGCATCACTTTGTCCCCTTTAGGAACCAAAAACCCTCTCACCAGGGAAGCCCCAACCCGATCTCTGAGCTTAAAGAGCCTGAAAGGCGCGGAGGCTGGCGGGCTGGGGCCGCAAGCTGGGCTGGGGAGGCCGAGGCCGAGCGTTGTCTGCAGCCAGCGCGTGGCCGGCCGGCGCCCCACCGCAGCAGCGGCCTCGCCGGCGGCCGCCTGGAATGCAAGACCTGAGCGCTCTCCCTGCGCCCTGCGCGCAGCGCTTCAGCCTGTTTTATTGTATTTTATTTTATTTGATTGCTATTTTGTGTTAATCACAGTACCCTCCCCAATTCGAGGACGCCCAGGGGGCTCTCGGAAATCTTTGTGTGCCTTGGTCTTAAAGCGGTGACTCAGTGGATGGCGTATCTCTTTTCAGACCAAATGGGCCACGGGCGGTTGAAAAAGAATCCAAACCTCTGAAAAGGTTTGTGATTGAAATCTTTTAGAAGTTCTCATGCTCCTAGTTTATGGTCATTTTCTTTTCTTTTCTCTTTTAAAAAGTTGGTTGATATTTGTTCTTATGTATTTTTCTTTCTGATCTTATTTTTGGGGGAGGAGAATTTTTTTAAAGGAAGGATTTCGTTAGACCCGAAACTGCATGGCGGCTTCCTCTCCCGCAAACGTCGTACCTCTCTACACCTCTGACTCCCTCCTCCCCCAAACAAATTAATTGATAAAATTATCAGAAAGCTGTACCTGGAGAGAATGAGGTGGACACTGCAGGACCCTGGACTGTGGTCTTCGCTTCCTTTGCGGAAATCCGCTTGGCTCCACGCTCCCGAAGGAAAATTCAAGGCGCTTCAACTCTTCCCTTCGTCTTCTTTTAAAAAAGACTCTAGGAAGGGAACTTTCCCTGGGCCTGCAGAAACCCCGGCTTCCTTCGCTCTCCAGTTCTCCCCACTCTCCTGGCCCGGGCGGCCATAAATATTTTTCTGCTTCCCGCCCGGCCCCGCGGCTAGTCCTCCTGGGCACCTCTGCCGCCCGGGCTGCGGGGATCGAGGCTGCGCTCAGAGCTTCATTTAACTCGGTCCTTTGGCCTGACCCTGCACCTTTGGCCTTCTCATTAAGACAGGGGATCCCAGAGAGTCCCCAAAGCTACTAACCACCCTGTAAGTGGGATCCCTTTCCTTCTCGTTCAAAGCAAAAGACATTGAAAAAGAAGCAGGAAAGAGTGGCCTCCTGGCTCTTCCTCTCCTCCTCTGGTCAGAGGGCTCCGTCTAGGGAGGGGATTCCCAGCGCCAGCCCCCCAGGGCATTTAAAGAAGCTAACTTCCTTTCTAGTCTTCATCTGAGATCCTGTGATAGTGACCCCTTCCTCTGCCCCCTCCTCCAAATATCTCCTGGGCATTTTATTGTTATCCTACTAGGGTGGAACTCTGAACTACTGCTTTTATTATTGTTATTTATTGTTATTATGATTGTTAGAGATTTGTTCATCGGGTTCAAGGGACAACAGCCTGGCTCAGAGGGAGGCCTGTCTGTCACAAGTGAATGGGGACCGCACAGACACACACACCTAACACGGTGCACACACTCACATGTATATACCCACAAATGCCTCTTAGGTTCGGGCCCCTGCACAGCCATTCAAATGAGGCAGGCGTTCTCCTATCCCCCAGCACACAAACAGCACGCTACCCACGCGCACCAGCATTCAGGCAGAACACCACCCCCAGACCGATGCCAAAACCCACACGCACCGAGATCGCAAGGCAAAGAAAATACGTATGAATCCCTTCTCTCCCACAATCTGGAGGGGCGAGTCAGGCCTCTGTCTCTTTCCCCCAGTCTCTCTCGCTTTCTCTTTTTTTTCTCCTTGTTTACAGCTTCAGAGAGCTCAAGGCCCATAAATCTTGAGGGGCCTACAGAGCGCAGAGCACATTTGTATGCATCGTTAGGACTCGCTAATACCTAAGCCCATTAACGAGCGTGTATGCGCGTGGTTTCCGGTGTATATTAACTTATAGTTAAATTCTGGAGGAAAGGGCATTGTGAATTAACATATACCGAATCCATCACGGGCTTTTGTCATATCAGATTAGTCAACCACGGGTTTGGGGGAGCAAGCTGAATGGGCCAGGGTCTAATCACCCTCCAAACTTTGTGGAGTAAATTTGAGGGTCTGAGAAAGATGAGCACACTCCTCCTGCCCAGCCCTGGTGGTTCAGACCCGAAAGCCAAGTAGCTGCACACCTGCGGGAAGACTGAGGGGCCGGAGACTTGGGTGTGGGAGAAGGCTGTTGGGGGTGAAGGAGACGAGCGAGGGGAGGCCCCTCTGGCTGCAGGCTGGGGTTGTGCTGGGGCCGATCGGCCTGTGGTCCATGGATGGGCCGACTGGTTTCCTCTTTCCAAGAGAAACGCGAAGGAGAGGCTAGTGGAATCGCTGGACTTTAATTAAACCGAAGAAAATACAGTGGGAGGAGGGAAAAACGATCCAGAAGGAGGAGGAGGAGGCCGAGGCCGAGACAAGGAAGGAAGTCCGGGCTCTACAGAGCCTGGACATCTCCTGGGGGCCTGATAGCTGGTGGTTGCATGGTTCTTTTCCCACCCCAGTTACCCCTGGGTCGAGGCCAAACACCTTCTTAAAAACACGAAAGGAAGAAAGAAAAGGAAAAAGGGAAAGAGAAGGTAAAGAAAAAAATAAAATCTAACTCTAGGACGGGTTTCAGCCAGGTGTTCCTAGTTGCAATGACTCAGAGCCTACTGGAAGCCCAAGGATCCTGGTCATTGGGCCTGCGTAGGGATGAAGGATGCCCAGTGCTAGAGGGAGGACGGGCAGGAAAGTCCATCTCGTGGGGTCCTGTAGAAAATGCCAAAGACAAAACCAGCTAAATTATTTTGTCCGTGTAGATGTGGCTGCCTATCTAAATACAGCCGACCGCGGCGGGAGAGCGGGGGCGGGCCGGGGCGAGGGGGATAATCGGCCGGGATGGAGCGGGCTGGCAGGAGCGAAAATGCCTTCCTCCCCTTTGCTTTGCGGGAACAGCCAGAGGCCTCCCCGGGCCGTGCAGGCGGCCGCGCGGCGGGCCGGGCCGCGGCCGGCCGGGCCGGGCCTGGGGGAGGGGAGGCGGGGGCGGGCCCTCCCCGGGCGCTGTGAACTTTAGCTGGGCCGCCGCCTGTCAGCCCCAGAAAGCGTTAAAGGTGCAGCAGCCCGCGCCAGCCTCCGCAGCCGCCTTTGTACGCGTGATTTATGACTTCAATCTTGGTTCACCGAGAGTTCACACGGCTTTCGCTGCTGTTGAAGGTTAAAAGATGGTCTTCGCTTGACAAGTGGGACTATTGAAAATTCCTTCTTCTTCGTTTTTTTTTTTTTTTTTTAAAGAAGCGAAGAGCTAAGACTCAGGAGAGAAAAAATTTGGGGGGAGGGGACAGGGGTTGCAGGTGGGGCAAAATAGTAGGTCAGGAAGGTTTGTCCTCCTTCATTTAGGATTTTCTGTAGCTAAGATTTGAGTGTGAATTGGTGAGGAGGGTAGAGAATAAGAGGAAGCTAGGGAAGAGGTTTAGAGATTTCTCATATTTGAAGGCCAAATGAGTGGCATTTTGAAAAACACAACGTGTTTTCCACCTCTAGGTAACTTGCCTTACAGACCTACCCCATCCTCCTCTGGAGACTAAAAGCCGGCCAGGTAAGGATAAAGCTGAGCCAAGGGCAGGGTATTGCTGACAGCGTGCCAGCGGGTGTGTCTGGCTGACCTTCCACCTTGCCTAGAAAGCCAGGTTTTATTTACTGTGCTCTTCTAACCTCAGATTTGGCAAGGCCATTTCTGGGTCCTGGTGTTCCAATTCTCTTCCTCCTGTCCTGTAGATTTAGTTTAACATGTATATTTGATGCAAATGAAGGGGAAGGAAGGTAGGATCCGGAATGGAATTCCTTTCTAACCCCAAATCCCCTTGGCCCTAGAACAGGTCCCTCTTCCTTCTAGCATTTTGGAGGAGGTAGTGTCACAGCATAGATGGTAACCAAAGATCTCCGGATGGTCAGAAGATAAGGGTCCTTTGTCTTTGAAGTGTTTGTGTATTTGGAAAAACAGGAGTCTCCTATTTTTTGAGAGAGACAGAGAGAGAGAGAGAGAGAGAGAGAGAGAGAGAGAGACACCCTGGAGCTGTGAGGGACTGAGCGATTCTTAGCTCCTTGAAACTATTTTTAAATCACTTGGTGTAAGAATTTGGGATTATGATGTTGGGGAGGGGAAAAGTAGAGAACCAAGTCTGGTGTTGGGTATGCCCACCTACTCCTACTTGGGCACCTTGTCCCTTATCCAATACTGGTACCACTTAGGTTTGTTTTGTTTTGTTTTGTTTTTGTGTGTGTTTGTGTGTTTGGCTTTTGTGGTGTTGGGGATAAGACTCCAGGGCCTCAAGCATGCTAGACAAGTGCTCTACCACTGAGCTATATTCCCAACCCTCTTATGCAGATGTCAGAGCCAGTCCCTCAAATCCAGATCCTGGAACCAAAGGCATTCACATTAGAAAGGGTGCTCCCAGTCTCTCTTCTCACACAGAGTTTGAAGAGACCTTCCATCACAATAGGAAGATGCCTAGGCACTCCCTATCAAAGGAGATGAAGAAGACCCAGGAAGAAGGCCACACCTCTTTAGGACCCCCCAACCCTTCTTGCAGGGGATCCCATATATAAATAGCAGAATGGGAAGCAGAGAACAGAAAGACTCCAGAAATCTAGAGTCCAGATTCTGAGGTCACTTTGGTACAAATGACCCTCTGGCCTCCAGAAGAACAGAGAAGCAGTGTGGTTCTGTATTTAGAAGTTTGGGGGTGGGTAGTGTTAGGAGAAATGGCCAAGGAAGCTAATGAATCTCTTCCAGGTTCTGGTTGGGAAGCAGAGTAATGACCATAATGGCCTCTGGAAATAATGACTGTACCGAAGTCCCCTTCCCACCACCTCTGACTATGTTTCTCCCTGGGAAATAATTTTAGTGGGCTCCTGCTTATCTGCAAGTCTGGAATAATTATAAATTTTTAATTCATAATTAAGACTGTTGATTGTGACCATTGCTCTTCAGTAGCCCTGTTTATTTCCTTCTCTTCTGTGAGGCAGAAGGCAGCCTCAGTTAGCCCCTGCCCTCTGTAACAAGCAAACTGAGGCCCAGAACCTCTTAAAGACAGCCCTTGAACTCGGCCATCTGTGGAAAAGTTGCCTCATTACTAGTCAATTCATGTTGTACTTTACAGAGTATTTGTACTCAATAGGACCACCTCCCACTAACCTCAGATTGCCTCAGATTTCAAAGTGCTGGTAAGATTGGCTCCTGGGGAGACTAGGAAACTAGACTCCAACAAGAGAAGCAGCTTGGTCAAACTTTAGAGTCAGGAATGAAGGCCAGGTGGCAGGGCTCCCAGGCATAATACCTAAGCAATCTGAAATGAAGAATGGACATTCTGCCTCTCCTGCCTTAAGGAAACACTGGCCTCCCTCAAACCTCTAGGTCCCTGAATACACACCTGGTCCTTTTTTCTGACTTTCCTTTCCATACAGACACACACACACACACACACACACACACACACACACACACACACACATACACAATATGGAGCCACAGGCTTCAAGATGCCCTATGTTCTTAGGGGTGGGGAAGTGGGATCTGTCAGTTGTTTCACATCTGTAAAGACACAGAGAAGGAGAAAACTGCTCCTATCCCATGAGATAATTTCCACCTAAATCCCTATTTTCAGCTCACCCAGCATGAAATAGTTGTTCCCTTTCTCCTCTCCTACCCTCTGGAAATATGGAGGTTAAGGGCAGGATGAGCAGGTCCCAACCACAGCTGAACCTAGAGAAAGAGACAGAAGTAGGCAATATAGGGGTGCTGATTACTTCCTACAAGCTTTACCTACATTCTTCAAACCCAGATCAATACCCTGAAACAAGGGCCAGAGGGAGCAACCCCCCTGTAGCCAATTCTCTACTCTTTCTTCTCATGAAAAAAAGAGCATTTTCTCCCTCCCTGAGGCCTGGATTCCTCTGAGACCTTTGCTCTAAGAACATTACAGCTTTCCAAAGGACCTTTGGGGACCCAAACTCCATGTATCTCTCAGTGCCTGTCTAGAAGGAAGCCAGTGGCCACTTTACACCCCACCAGTCGGCTGGTTCATGGAGTCTCCTCACCCACGATCCCCACACTCACCTGCTTTTCCTGAGAGCTAGCCCAGCGTCCTTGATCTTGCTCAAGTCAGGACACAGGTAGGAAGCCTGTTGAGAGGGTTCTCCAGGGCTAGCTAGTATATTTTAATGTACTGTTTGATGGTAAATAAAGAGACCTTGGGGGGAAAAAAAAAAAAGGAAGGAGCAACAGTGCCTGGCATGTCCCCACCAGCCCCTCCTCTGGACATTGGCTTTCTTGATGAAACAGTGCACCGTTGTTCTTGAACAACCATTCCCCACCATCTCTGTTCGAAGGGTTTGAGTTTCACCCTCCGTTCACCCCCATTAATCACCCCAGCAGCTAAACATCACCCAGCCCCCTCTAGCTCTAGCCCTTTCTCTTCTTCTTGCCCTTAGTATTCATGGCGGGGCATTCCTCACTGCTGCGTGCCTCACAAAGATCTCTCCTCGGACACAAGGACCCTCCCCCTCTCTAGCTACCCAGTCCATGGTGGGCACTACTCTCTGTTCTGGGTGTCCCGACTGCCAGCTCATCATACTCTTGGACCCTGCTCCCCAGCTCTTCCCATAGCCGTTGCCCCATTCCCATGCACATTCCCACTCACCACGCCCTCCTTCAGGTACTTTATCTCATGGCCACCGAACCTCGGGTCTCCACCACCCACCATCGTTCTTTCCTCCAGGCCCATCTGCTTCTAGCTCCCATCTGCCTTTGACACTTCCCCTTGCCTCTTGTTTCTTTCCTTCCCAAGACCTTCCTGAGACTCTTTAGATGGTGGCTTTGAAGTCTGATCCTTCTAACCTCAAGAAACTTAGAGGCAGGGTAGCACAGTGGTTAAAAGCATGGCTTTAGATTCAAATCCCAGATCTGACACCTGCGAGGTATATGCAACTATAGACAATCACTCAACCTTTCTGAGCCATCCATACAATGGACATACTCACTGGCCTTGTAGAGTTGTTGTGTAGATCAAATTAAATTCTATTTGCATAGATCCAAGCATTCAGCAGAAGTTTGATAAATGGTCGTTATTAAATCAGAATCTTCTTGGGGAGAGAGAAAGGAGGCTCTTTGGATTCCAATAAAAGTTAAGAAGTTGCCTCTTGCAGTATCTGAGAGGGTAGGATAAAAATGACGCAGTCTTGCAAAGCAGGGCCCATTTACCAGGAAGCCTTACTCTTCTGTTTGCCCAAGAGGGTCTCAACTTTGGCTGCACATTGGAACCCCTGAGAGTTTTTTTTTTTTTTTCTGATGCTTAGACTCCATCTCCAGAGTTTCTAATTTGTTGGCCTAAGTAGGGCCTGGGCTTCTTGATTATTGTTTTTAAACACCCCAGATGATGCTAATATGCAGCCAGAGTTCCAGATGTAGCCCTAGGAAGGGATACAAGATGAGGATGACTGCTACTTCTGCCAGAGGACGTCTTAACATGGGGTACCTCCTTCTAGCTGCATTGCTTCAATGGGAAGAAGTTCACTTAGGATTAGCTTCTCTTGAGATCTCAGAACTTCAGAAAGACTCACACTTTCCATTTCCTACAGCTATCAGGATTTAGAAAAATGTCCACCCCAAGAAGAGACAGGGGAATGGACAAATTGACTTCTGAGAGGCCTTGCTCATCTGAAAGCATGTGGTCCCCAGATTACCAACAACAGAGGAAGAAGCAGCTCCCCTCAGTAGTGGGAAAATTTGTAGTTATATAGTAAATGGAGCTTCTACCTGGTTGCTACAATAATAGGCCAAGCAATTAGGATACAAGTTCCAGAATCTTTTCCTATATTTCCAAAAAGATAAATCACCCCCAGGAACAGAATCTGCATATTGTAATTAACTGATAAATATTTCATGCCTGGTTCAAACTTTCTCCTCTTCTATTTAATGGCCACAAACTTGAGCACTGAGGAACCAGGGGAGAAGAGGGTGGGGGCTGGCGTGGGGAGGCTCTGCCTTGGCTTTGGGGGAGGGAAACTCTGTCTTGGTTACTGCTTTATTTACTTTTCTCCTGTTCTTTTAAGAAAACATTGCCCACCTGGAGCAAATCAGGTCACAAGTGGTAGAGAGTGTGACTCAGGCTTGTGGCCTCAGCCCTGATCTCCTCCAGGAGAGGCCAGTCTCTGGTGACCCTGGGGGCACTGAGAGCAGCAGGTTTTAGAATCCATAGGGCCCAATATTTGAAAATAAGCTCTGTTCTCTAACTTTTTAACAGAATGGGCTTAGGCAACTCAGTTTTTTTCAGCTGTAAAATAAAATAGGCATAGCAATGTGTGTGTGCATGGGTGGTGCTGGGGATCAAACCCAGGGTCTTAAACATTCTAGGCAAGGGCTCTACTACTGAGCTACATTACCCAGCTAAGGCATAGCAATTTTTATCTTATAGGATTGACTGTGTTCAATAAGCTCTCAATACATGATGACTATGACCAACAATAATGATCATAATTAATTGCATCACATCGAATCCCTTCTTTTATAGCACCTAAATAAGTGTTTATAGCACCTAA